CATAACTATTAATAATAAATAAGCTGACCAGTCATCATAACATTTACTGAGCCTTTACTACACGCCAGGCACTATTTTAAGAGCTTTATATGAGTTATGTGTATTAACACATTTAATCCCCACAATATGAAATAGATACTATTATCCCCCATTATACAGATTAGAAAACTGAGGCAGATGGGTCAAATAACTTGATCCAGTATGACACAGCTAGTACATACCATCTCCATAACTCAAACTGAAGAAGTCTGGCTTCAAAGTCTATGATCTTAACCACTTCACCATAGCTACCTCTCAAATTTTTCTATTTGTCTGTACATACAGAACAAATATGCTATTACTATCAAGAATTTCTTGTATTTCAAAAACCTCTAAAGGGGGTAGACTACAGCAATGATCTTATGAATATTACAAATAATAATTAGTACAACTACCTATACACTAATATACATTGATAGTGATTAGTATATTACCAAAGAGTACCAGGAAATATTAAGAGCATGGGGAAACAATCATCTATAACACATCAACTAATTATTTTACTAGCTTTAAATGTCAGTTTGAATACTAATTTGTAACTAATAATATCAGAACCTAATTGCTTATTTTTTTTTTTTTTGAGACAAGGTCTCACTATCACCCACACTGGAGTGCAGCAGTGCAATCATAATTCATTGCAATCTTCAACTGCCAGGCTCAAGTGATCCTCCCGGCTCAGCCTCCTGAGTAGCTGGGACTACAGGCACATGCCACAATGCCCAGCTAATTTTTAAAATTTTTTTGTAGAAACGAGTTGTCAATATATTGTCCAGGCTAGTCTCAAATTCCTGGGCTCAAGTGATCCTCCTGCCTAGGCCTCCCAAAGTGTTGGGATCACAGGCGTGAGTCACCACCCCCAGCCTGACAGCTTATTTTAAAAAACTACATTAACGCAAACTCACTTCTCCTCATTTCCATTTATTTTGTATACACTGCATTATACATACTTATAAGGAAAAGGGCGGAATTACACAGCTAACCTGCAGGGGAATTATCCACATAACCATGGGTATATCCCATGAGTATATCGGACACAAATGATTTCTGAGAGGTGCATCAGCGTCTAAAACCACAGCTGGCACATAGTACATACTCAATTATTTATAGAAGGAGGATAGTAGAAGAGAAGAGTTGAGAGCCCTTGCTTTAGAGGGGAAAGTACTTGTAGAAAGTCACCAGAAAACACACTGAATGAGAAGAGAAAGGGTCACAAATATAGTCCTTTAAGTTAAGGACTTCCATTAAGTTCTAGTTAGTTATTCTTTACTTTAAGACTTTCTGAAGCCCTCTGTTCCCCTTGAAACTCAGAGGAAAAAAATTCAGAGATGCGAGGTAGTTGCCTGGGATCGCTAAAATGTCCAGCGTTTTTAGAAAGGACTAAGACACCAATATATGCAATATATGTATTAATAAATATACCAAGACATGTAATACATGTAAACTAATGAATGCACCTAAGAAGAATTCCTATAGTTGGCACTTATTTTAATATAGTTCAAGGCTGAAAGAACTAAAATGTATGGAGTAACAAAGTTTCTTTAACATGAATTGGAGCCACTAAGAGCTTTCTCTTTAAGAGCTGATACTCACTTATCCTCCCCACTACCTGAATTTTTGAAACTCTTGAGGTGAATTCATTACACAACTGCTTGGCCTTGTATGCTTCCTAAATGACATTTCAATTTGTTAACAAATGGATGGACTTGCTTGTACATTCTAACTACTGACTCAATCTTAAGGACAGAATTCTGAAAAAAAAA